AATATGTTTTTGGTATAAAAAAACTAATTCTTAATTTGATAATATAGAAAAAATGTACAATTTCTTTTGGATTAGATTTTGAACAATATAATTAATTACTAGGGACTAGAATATGCTACAATGTAATTACTAGAAAACAAATATAAAGACAACTTGTTACTACATAATATAATTTCTTTATTACAACATAGTGTAATTACTTTTAAACTGCAATATTTTCTGGTCAATGCTATATCGCTAAAAATAAATAAAGCATTATCTAAATTTTCTGCACTAATGTAAAAGAAATATTTGTTAAATTTGTTTTATTCTTTTTAAATTGGAGAAGTTTTATGTTGTAAGGTTATTATCCTACGTCTAAGAGTTTTATGTAACCTCTAACACCTTAACTTAATACTATGTATAATAATGATAATAATGATAATGCTATCGGATAAAAATTTATTATATATTAAATATAAAGGGATTAAATGTGTAAATGGAATTGGAAAGCATAACTTATTCAAGAATAAATTTTATAAGCAGGTAATTTTATAAGCAGGTTCCTATACCAGAAAACAAATGTACCTGATATAAAGATAAGTGATAATAAAAATAAATGTACCTGATGTTTGAATAATGTTATAAGTTTGTTCCTAAAAGATTGATTTAAAAAACTGAAGAATCTTTTATAAATAGCGGTTTTTATTATTCAGTATTTATTTTTATAAAAAGAATATTGCTATCAAAATTATGTAGCGTTGAGTAGTTGCTTTTTAGTTCTTACTTATTAACATGTTCTTTAAAAATATACGAAACATTAAACATTTAAAATGATTTTAATTAAAGTTAATGTTATTTTCCAATTACTTTTAATTCGTTATTTAATATTTCTGGAAAATACACAAATAGTTCACTGATGTATTATATTTATTTATTATCAATGCTTAAATATTCAATAGAATTTTTATTAACATAAAAGCTTATCTTCAAAAAATTTAATGTTTTCTTATTTTAAAAAGTATAATAAGTTACCATTTGAATCTTAGTTAAATCGCAATTTCATTTCTGATTGCATATTTAAATATTTGTCTCTAAAATAGCTTGGGGTTATGAGATAATGAAAAAGTGCACAGTTCTTAAATTACCGTTTTGACTAAATAGACTCAATGTAATTTATTTAGTAATTCTGATATGTTTTAGAATTAGCCTAGTTTCATGCCCAACATATAAACTATATAAGTACACATAATATTTTACACATATGCTATATATTAATAAAACTGAAATTTTTCATTTTACTTATTTATTTGATTATTTGATTGAAGCAATAAATTAATATCAACCCTAAGCTATATTATTTTTTGTCTTCTGTATTTGCAAATAAAGGAATAAAAATTAAAAGGATATTTTTCATTTAGTTATAGGTATGTCGATAAATATGTGTCATGTATTGTTTCAAATCATATTAAGTAATTTTTAGCTACTGAAATTCATAAGAAATAATATATTTATAAGCAAATTTTTGAATGACTAAACTTTTTAATTGTGATCAATTTAGTTGTTCAATAGTTTTAACAAGGGATATTTATATCGATGATGTTTTTCAATTGTGTTGGGTTATTACTTTTTGTGTTTTCAAATGTAAGCTTTGCTTGGGATTTGTTACTCTTCTGTGTTGCTTCTTGTGCTTCTAATAGCGAGGATTTCTCAAAAGTAAGTTTGCTAGAAATCTGTCATTTCAACAAAAAAAAATTGCTTCTGTTTGAGTTAAGTTCGAACGCATTATTTTATTTTGTAAATACTGCAACTTTTAACACAATTCAAAAAAAAAAATACTTGGAAATGAAGCAAATATGGAATAAGTATTTTATGAAATGTTCACGTAAGCAAGGCAATTCTACTAAACAGGACCAATTAAATTTTCTTGTTTAGACAGATTTTTTCATGTTTTAAGTTATTTTCATGTATTCACATTCGTTACTGAGGTATTTCAGATATAGATACATTTTAAAAGATATTTCCTTCATGAATACATGAACTGATATCAAATGTCACGTGCGGTTAAAATCGTTGAATGAGACTGCTCTTTGCATAGGAACTAATATTTTACAATACATCACATATTCTACAGACAATAATAAATATATTACATACAGCAAGTAAATAAAACATTAAGGCCTGGTCTTAATTTATAAGTCTAAAGAAATCCCAAGCATGTATGTGTGGTGCGTTCGAGATAATCGAAGTTAGGATTAAACGTTATATTCCGGATGTCATTACGAGTAGAGCCAGAACAAACCAGCAATTGTTTGTTCTATCTATTTGTTGCTTAATTATACACAACATTTGGTTTTGAAAATCAGTAAAATAATTCAGCTATCAGAAGAATGTTGGCTTCTTGTTTCGTGCACATTTTTCTATATTTAAAGTTTTTCTATATTAAAAGGTTTTCTATATTTAGGGGTTTTCTATATTTAAGTGTTTTCCATGTTTAAGGGTTTTCTATGTTTAAGGGTTTTCTATATTTAAGTGTTTTCTATATTTAAGGGTTTTCTATATTCAAGGGTTTTCTATATTTAAGGGTTTTCTATATTTAAAAGTTTTCTATATTTAAGTGTTTTCTATATTCAAGGGTTTTCTATATTTAAGGGTTTTCTATATTTAAGGGTTTCTATATTTAAGGGTCTCATACAGTTTAAAACAAGTCCTGCCTGCAGATCCCAAAACTATTTGTCTTTTGTTCAAACTTTCTTTAGAATGTTTCATCTCCGTTGGGCAAATTCATAAAGTTTAGGGCTCGTTTACATAATGGTGCTTTAGATAGGGCCAATACGGTAAAAAAACGAAGTTCGGGGTGAAATTTTTTGAGAAACCTTATGAAAAAGCCATGGATTTATATAGAAAGTCTTCAAAATTTCAAGAAAATCGCTTGAAGAAGATTATGCATGATTGTTGGATAAGCTTATTTTTAGATATCTTCAGTCCAAGCGATCGCAGTTTAAACATTTGTTTCCAAGCCTAGTAACAATTATAAATAACTATTAACATTGCTATTAACTGTTGCTATTTATAAATAAACGCTGTTATGCATTAAATTATGAATTCAAAAGATCATAACCTTTTAAAATCGTGTTTCATGCAGTAACTATACACTTTTTCAAGAGTAATAACCACTAAGTTCCTTATTCATTTTGAAGATTATAGGTAAGAAAAAAATTCATATTTGTTTTCGTAATTAGTTACTTGATAGTAGAATAAAAATATAAAAAAATCCTATTATCCTGTGTTTTTTTATTTAGTATGCAACTCCCGACACTGAAAAAAAAATCTCATCTACACGGTGTCTAATGGAACATTCCTTTAGAGCCAGCATCATCGCCCTTTGACTAGCTCTGTACTTCGAGTACTGCTCTATTAAACCCTAGACGAGGAAACATGAGTTGTTATATCGATTTCCAAGCTATGTAAGATTCAGAGCGTTTGAGTATTATGTTAACTTAAAATCCGAAAGCAATTTATAATCAAATGATATGCAAAATTGTCAATGATGTCACTTCTCCGTACATAAAGTTTTAAAATTCTGCTGTGGGATTAAGCGTCGAACATGTGACCTTTCCGGAATCAAGATTAAAAAATGGGTTTTATATATTTAGAGAATGTTTGCTTAAGCTTTTTCACGAATAAAAACAAAATAGACAAAGTTTAAATTCTTTTCTATCCTAGAAAAATTATATTTTTAAACTATGTATGTTCACTTTTAACAAAGAATTATCTGGACTTTGAAAAAGGCAATTAGATTAAATATTTCAAAAGTTTGAAACGTTTTTAAAAACTGCCAATTTGGTGAAAAAATTTTCATATATTAAAAGAAAGGACAAACACAAACGTTTTTATTTGTACAAAGCTATAATTTTTCTTCCTTTTGAAACTTTGAAACATTTCAAAGAACGCTGGATGAAGATGGCAAAGGTTAACGTATTACATTAAATTACTCATTACCTTTCAAACAGTTATAAATCACTGTTTCAAATTTACAACATGTATGGAAATAGCTTATTAATTGCTAAAAAATGTAATTTCATCCAATGACAAACTTTCAAATAAGCAGCCTCTATAACAAAAAAATCGTCGCACCAAGTAGCAATCATCCGATTGCTTCTTGGTGCCAGATAACAGTGGTGCATGGCTCGATCAGGCTGGAATGATGCCGACTGGGGACGTATAGTCTTTAGCGACGAATCCCGCTTCCAACTGTGACCTGACGATCATCGAAGACGTGTTTGGAGACGCACAGGGCAGAGGAGGATCCTGCCTTCACTATTGGACGCCACACCGGCCCTGAAAAAGGCATTATGGTCTGGGGTGCCATTTCCTTTGACAGCCGGACCCCTTTGGTCGTCATTAGAGGTGCACTAACTGCACAGCGCTCCATCTACGACATCCTAAGACCTGTTTTGCTACCGTTCCTTTTGCTGCTCCCTGGGCTAGTTTTTCAGCAGGGCAATGCCAGACCACATACGGCCCTTGTTGCTATGAACTGTCTGCAAGCTCGTCAAACTCTTCCTTGGCCAGATCACCAGATCTCTCGAGCATGTCTGGGATATGATGGGAAGGCGATTGCATCTGGCGCGGAATGTTGATGACCTCGTTCGACAATTGAATCGAATTTGGCAGGAAATACCGCAAGAGACCATCCGGTAGCTTTATCGATCTATGCAACGCCGTGTGGCAGCTTGTATCCAGGCTAGAGGTGGGTCAGCACCTTATTGAACTTGTTTCTGTAACTCTGCAATAAATTATTTAATTGTTCTGAAATTTTAATCATTTACTATTCTGTACTTTGTCTTCTTATCCACCAATTTTCGTTTCAATCGGACAACTCCTTCTTGGTGCGTCGATTTTTTTATAGAGTGTATATGCCAATAATTTAATTCGTAGTTCGAACTTAGTAGAGGAATATGTTAGATTCACCCTATCTTATTATTATAACGTTTGAATTTTAAAAAAATGATTATTACCTTAATTTTTAATCTTGGATTAATAAAATTTTCGCTATTTGATGAATCAAGCGGCAGCTTTTTCCAATATACACTTTCCGTTTTTGCTGTCGCTTCTCCTGTTACATCTGGTTTGCTATTTTCTATGATTACATAACTATCTGAAAAAAATGTATAAAAATGTCAATTTGTATTAATTTAATTAAAGAAGAAAAAAAATGTTTGTTTAAGACATTTAAAATAAAGGTGATTATTTTTATTCATTAATTAATAGTTTTGAAACACTGTGATGGTTAGTTAAAATGTAAGCATATATACCAGGTGTGAAATGCTTTAGTTGCTCCTCTTCTCGGTGTTCACATAAACAGTGGTTAAAATTTTTGTGGTCGGGATCAGAGCTAGATGGATTTCTGTAACAAAAAGATAATAATTTCATTTGTAAAAATGCATCATAGGTTTTTAATTAGGTAATTAATCAAAAAAATAATGCTAAGCTGATAATGGAATAGTAATATATATTTTGATAAAGTAGAATGCTTAAATGTCTAGTGTTTAAATGAATGTCTTTGCAAATGTACAGTGCGCACCCTAAACAACTTTTGATCTAATGATTGGATCTTCACGTTCTAAGACTTATTCCTAATGGCTCAGGAGGGTTACCTGAAATATGCTAATTATTTAGTCATCTGAAATATGCTAATTATTTTGACACCCAAAACATAGAGGCTAGCCTCAATCTGGAAAATATGGTCCCCATAGTTTAGTCAGGAGAGCGCTCCGAAATTTCGATCCCTTAATGCAGAGGTCGCCAAAGTTGTCTATATAGACCCCCAGGGGTCTATTTAGCAAAATCGGGGCTCGATCTGTGCCAGGGGGTCGAATGGGGGTCGATCCGAATCGGAAGGGTCGATTGGGGATCATAGAAAAAACAGTTCTTAATACGCAAATCACACATACCTAATTGAGTATGTAAAATTTGTGAATTTTTTTATAATTGACTTAGCTTCAGACATCATTTATAAGAAACAAATGAAACGATTCCCATGTGTCTTCTATGCGAAAAAACTTTTGGAAATGACTACATGAAACCGTCAAAAATGAAAGAGCATCTTGATAGGGTTCACTCAGATAAAAAAAAATAAAGAGCTTGAATTTTTCAAAAAACTTAACTGCGACAGTTAGAAATAAAAGAAGAAGACTTGGAAATATATACAGGTCATCTTCAAAAATTGAGCAACGATTTTAAACTGTGCTTTCTTGATTTGGAAAACATTGATATTCCTGATTGGATTATTGCGCCATTTTCTGCTCAAATTGAAAATGTGAACATCAACCTGCAAGATGAGCTTGCTGCATTATTATCGGATCTTGAAGCAAAAGACGCTTTTTTTAAAATTTATCAATAAGCAAATTTTGGACAAATATAAATACAATGCAAAATTATGTAAAACTTTACAAAATAGCTCAGCCATTCAAGCTAGCATTTCCAAGTTCCTACATGGTCAAAGCCGGTTTCAGTTACGTAAATTCAATCTTAACTAAGTACAAAAATAAATTAAATGTGGAGTTTCGAGGGGATTTAAGATTAAAATTGACCAATTTTGAACCCAATATAGCGAAAAAAACACCAGGCACACCCATCTCACTGATTAAGAAGCAATAAATCTGTAGTTACTTTACTCATTATTTCTACTGATTTATAATTACTTATTATTTAATAAATATTAAGGTATTTAAACTTCAGTAATATTTTTCATAAAACTATTGTTACATAATAAATGTACTATATTACTTTAATAAATGTTTAAAATGATAAAATAAATGTAAAGACACAGTATCTAATAGAACTGTGAATAGAACTGTGATCAGAACTTTATGTTAATTAACAGAAAATTACTTTTATTTGGGTCGATGGAGATTTCGAAAAATTATATAGGGGTCGATGATCACAAAAGTTTGGCGACCCCTGCCTTAATGCTAACTTTACTTTTTGCGTTTTTCACCATATCTCGGAAATTTTTTAAGTGAATTGAAAACTTTTTCAACACTATTATAAAATTCATTTATCTAGATATAATTCCATGCAAATTCTATCTATTGTTTTTTATTATTTTACTTAATATTAGACGAAAATATTTTAAGTAGTAAGATATGCAATTTTTAACATCCTTTTAAGAAATTAAATACAAAATATAAAATTAGCAAACTACAAATTTTTTTCGAAATCAGTTAAATAGTTCCTGAAAAATTAAATTTTAAAGAAGCCGCATTTTCAAAATTCGATTCTCAAGAACGATTCGCCCGATTACGCTCAAATTTTGTATTTTGTCACGTAAGACTATATCATTCGAAATGATGTGAAAAATGTTCTACCTTATTGTTCAAAATATTTTCAGCCAGTGTTAAATAATATAATTAATCTATATTAAAAGTTGAATTTTTCTTATAATTATCTTTGTATAAACAAATTTTATAGTTGTGTGAAAAAATTTTTCAATTCACTTAAAAAGTTTCTCGAGATATGGTGAAATACGCAAAAAATATAATCAGCATTAACCCCTTCTTTCTCGCTTCCGTGAAAATGACGGGTCGAGGTTTCGCCCTCTATTTCTCGCTTCAATGATATTGACGGACTGGAGTGCTCAGTAGTAACGCGTCAATAACAATAAAACTAATTCACTTCTTTTGTCCGGAAAACATTTTATTTCTCATTTTACACACCAGATGGCAGTACCAAGATATTTTTAAGGTACTTGTAGATAGTTAGGTTATTTTAAACTAGTTGCTGCACTAATCAAATACGTAATATAAATACAAAAGCCAAAAAAAAAAAATCACTTTTATGACTGTTTTCTTGAAAATTAACCGATCGTTAAGGGATACAATCTTTGGACCACGATTCTGACCAATCTATTTTGACCATATTTCCCAGATTGTGCCTACTCCCTATATCTCAGGTGTCAAAAATACGTAGAAAAAAAAATGTTTATTCTAGAGAAAGTACGTCTTGTGTCTGATTTCGTAATTTAAAATATCTTCTGAACTTAAAATATCTTCGAAAAACCCTTTAAAATTGAGTCCGAAGAACGTAAAAATCCGATCATTAGACCAAAAGTTATTTTGGGTGGTACGTTTTTTATTATGAGCACTGTACACTCATTTTGTCATAAGTTATACAAGAGAAAGATGAATTGAAAAACGAACTAATGTAAATGAAAAAAAAATAGCATAAAATACACCATTAAAATTAAGAGGATTTGATTTGAGCGAATTAAGGTTAGAGGGCTTACATAGGTCTGCTTTATTATTTTCTTTTCGTTTTCTTTTTTGCTCTTTATTTCAACAATTATAGATCATAATCAGTTATATCTACACAAAGAAAAAAATACGATAAAATTTTCCTTCTGTTTGATAATGACATTTTTTGTAAAAAAACTCTATGAATTTGGTATATATTTTCGGTTCATTTAGTTATTTTTTGGTTATATTTCGTTCATATGGTATGGTTCATATGGTTTATACGGTTTACCTCAAATTATAGTTTTCAAAATTATAGTTCTTATTATCCCGCACTTAGTAAAAAATGCAAAACAGAGCAGTAAATTTAATCGAATATATGGTTTTTGTGCCATGCTTCAAGGTATTATGATAAAATTACCAATTTTTACTGCCTTTTATTTCAATAATCATATTTTATTGTTAATTTTACCAAAATCATTACCAAAGCGGTGCAGTAAAAGTGACCGAGATTCTGGTGTTCCTTTAGAAACAGGAACACAGAAAATTTCATCATATTCAGGTAGTTTTGAAACAGAGCAGTAGGTTGATTAGGTTAATTAAGTTTTGTAGTTTGATTAAGTTAACGGTAACATGCAGAATCGAAATAAAAAAATCTTATCTTTATTTAAATTTGATGATTTATCTTATCTTTATTTAAATTTGATGATTTATCTTATCTTCACTTAAATTTGATTATCTAAGAATTTTACATTTATATTAATCCTTGCTATGCTGTCTAAGATTTATTTATTTTTACTTCGCTGGTAAAAGAAGAAAAAATAAACGCAATTGAAATACCAATAAAAGCATTATTTTGCTTGTTGAACATATTTCAGTGCTAAAACACTTTTGTGAGATTTTAACAAGCCAATTACTTAAATAAATATGTGAAGAAAGAAAACAATTTATCAAATTAAAATCAACAATATCTTTTCTCGTCAATAATCTTCCTTTCTCTCATTTTTACTTATCCAAATTAAGTTTGATCACAAAGTTATATACTATTACTTTTAAAACTGTTCATTCAACTGTAGGAAAATCTCAAAAATTCATTTTTGATTCTTAAAATATGAAATATTTAAAGTTACTTCGAATCGCTATAACATTGCATTTTTAAATCGCTGATAATAATTTATATCTTGTAAAATATATCAAACCGCTTGTAAAAGTACTTGCAACATTATTTTTTGATAAATGAAGACGTGTAGGTTGTAGTCTAAAGAATGAGTTTGTAGATAGAAAATTTAGAGTTTCCGTAGTCAATTACTTTAATTTTTAGTTTCGAAATTTGATGAATTTATTCGTTTGACTACGTACTGAGAGGAATAGAAATTAATTATGAAAAATGATTTCAAGCAATGCTTTATTTCAATTACCTTATTGAAACCTGCGTAGCTTTCTAACTAAAGTTTTAAATAATTACAAAAGTTCGGAAATAAATGGTGCAAACAATATATTCTATTCTGGAAGATTAAAAAATAATTGCTTGCTTTGAATAGCAACTTGAAAATTATCCTCACATTTGCACAGTTGCTATCTATTAGTGAAAGAATTTTCATTTTAAAGTTATATAGCGTAAAATTGCAGGTTTTATTAAAACGTATATAAATTTCTAATTGTGTTTAATAAACTTTTAATTAACATTGTAATTTCTAGATTAAAGATGGCAATTACATCAAAAGGCTTGAAGTCAACTTGAAACCATTTTATAAGAATGTTTTCTCTTTTGGGGAATTATTTTATGGAACCCATCGCCTCATTTAATCCAAAATATCTGGAGATATGATATTGTTAATTATTTTGTTTCAGATACGAATTCTAGCAATTCATAGCATAATATTCTAGCAATTCGTATCGTCCAAATTAAAATCACCTAGTTTAATTATGTTTTATATATATAAAGTTAGCAATCGCAAAGTATATTATGATTGAAGATTTTTTATTTAATTTATTTTTATTGATCTGATTTACCCATTGCTGCCTGGTATACATTTCATATATAGAGAGAGTTTAATGTATATTTTTTCTAAATTAAAAACTAAAAGAAAGATATTATTTTCTGTAGTCAAAATTTTAAATTTGTACGATATATTTTAATGTATTTAAAAATGTATTGGAATATTTGAAAAGG